TAACCTCACCCTAATTTTCTGTTTTTATGATTTTGCTTTTTATTGCTATTTTGTAAGGTTTGAGAATCAGAGTTACTTAACCCAGACCCTAACCTTATCCTAATTGTCTTCATATTTTTAAAGACAGGCCTCACTGTGTCACAGTCCTCCTATTCAGCCTCCTAGTAGCTGGGACTATAGGCATGCACTACCATGCCTGGCTTTCAGGTCAGGCCAGGAACCTAGGCCTCCCATATGGCATCAGCCTGTGAAGCAGCACCACCTTTAACACTGTGACTAGGCCTTACTTGTCTTTCTTATTGCTACCTTTGGAAGTTTTGGGGATCAAACTAACTTTAACCCTAACTATATATTTTTGAATTGCTATCTTTGTGAGATTAGGGGATCAGATCAAAGGGCTGTTAATGCTTTGCACACACATTTGTTTCATGCAATGTCCTCTGCCATGATGCTTAGCCTTTCATGACCTGGCAAACTCCTTTCCTTAATTCAAATCTCAGGTGCCATCTTCTCCGGGAAGCCTTCCTGTAGACCTTACTCCTACCTATCCTCTCTGGCTACAGCCACACTCTTTGTTTAATATCTACCAGAGCCCTTGGAACATTCTAGAGAAGTTACATTTTTAGTTTGGAGAGGAAAGAGAGACAGACCCTAACACTTCTAGGTGAGGTACCCTGTGCCCTCAGCCAGCCAGGTACCACAGAACCAGAATGCTGTTGTCCCCTACACTGTGGTCTTCTCAGCTACAACTGAGAACAGAGAGGCCAAGGAAATGAATTTTTGCCACTCTTATATGTTATGCCCAAATTATATGCTACGTCCTAGACATTAACTCTCTCATTAATCCTGAGTGAAATGATTCCAGTGGATCTTCTTTACTTTTAGGAGCAGTAATCATATAATAAGGGACAAGAGACAGAGCCTGGATTTAAATCTTGAGCTAACTGTATAATACTATTTTGACGTAGTACCTTCCATGGTGATAATTGTAGCTCAATAACATGCAAGGCCTGGGGTTGGACCTAGGTGTCAATATGTTTTAGAAGCTTCCAAGATGGGGGGGGGGCAGCAGGTAGCATGGTGGTTAAGACACTTCTGTATGGTTGACCACAGTTTGAGTCCTGGACCTGGTGGCTTGCTTTCTCACTTTCCCT